GTCCACCTGTCATGAAGTTTCAATGGAAATTATCATTTATACTAGTGTGAAAACTAGAGGCATCAGTCTCCTTTTTGCCTTTTGGCTTTCTTCCTTTTTTGCTTTTTTTTCTTCAAGACTTGGCCACAGTGTTTTTTTTTTTTTTTTTTTTTTGGGGGGGGAGGGGATGGGTGGGGGTTGGAAGACTTGTCCACAAAGTTGCCATTGTAGACTGGAACTGTATTTCCTTACTCATTCCTTTCACAATCCTCATAAAGAAGGAAAAAAAAAAATGTATCCCTACAAAGAAGGCGGCAAAAAAATGTAGAATTTTCAACTGTGACCCACTAAATTTTAAACTATGTATTCTGCGAAGAAAAAGGAAACTGAGTACCCTCAGACCATTTAACTGAACTAGTCAACCTTGTAATTTGAAGAGAAGCAGGAGACATTATATAACATGCTACACAATTTTCTTAGCTCATTAATGCCATGAAAATGATATCCAGGATGTTTACTATTACATTACATATCTAGCCTTTCACTTTATTTTTAATATTTTTGTTTCAAGTGATGATGCTTTACCGTCCCTGCAACATTGAAATTGTTACTTCATTTACTGAAACACATTCAGGCTGGCTTGATGAAGCCTCTTCTTCTGGTAGATTCCTTTCGGTGTAAAAACCAGGAAGTTTTGGTTGAGGCAATGGATTCTCACTGCCCAACATTAGAACCACAGATGATATATCTGGCCTATCCTCTGGTCGTTTTTGGACACATAGCAGAGCCACATGAATGCAGCGTAGAACCTCAGAAACAGTGTAAGAGTCACCTAACATGGTGTCGCTTACTTCCAATGCTCTTTCTTCCATCCATAATCTCCATGTCTAAAAGCATTAAAAATCAAATATATATATATATATATATAGCTTTGAAGGCAAAAAAAAAAAAACAAATATGCATGACATTGTTCAAGAAAGTAATTTGTTGTTTCTTTATGCTTACATGTCCAAGAAGATTATGGTTGTGATCCGGGTGGCGAAATCCTCTGTTCTTCTGTCCACTTATGATCTCAAGCACTATCACACCAAAGCTGAAAACATCGGATTTTATTGAGAAGTGTCCATCTACTGCATACTCAGGAGACATATAACCACTGCAAAAATGTCATTACAAATAAAGTGAAAAATATGTGGTCTTAGATACAAATAACTATATTTTGCTTTATATCACTTCTACTTACTACGTTCCAACAACTCTATTTGTGTCTGCTTCAATTTGATCTCCCCGAAACATTCTAGCCAACCCAAAGTCTGAAATTTTTGGGTTCATATCTTTGTCTAGCAGGACATTACCGGCTTTGAGGTCCCTATGGATAATCCTCAATCTAGAATCTTGATGAAGATAAAGAAGTCCTCGAGCAATTCCAACAATGATGTGCATCCGCCTCTGCCAATCTATTAATACCTTTTTCGTTTGATCTGTTAAATGTACACATTTTAGTCCACTTCCTATAAAAAATGAAAGATCATTTCTCTAGAAGGTTTGAGAATCAAACCAAAGATAAAGTAGTCCAAACTCTTGTTGGGCATATATTCATAGATCAACATCTTTTCATCTCCTTGAATGCAGCAACCAAGAAGCTTAACAAGATTACGGTGTTGAAGTTTGGCAATCAATATAACTTCATTTTTGAACTCTACCATTCCTTGCCCGGAGCTTTTTGAAAGCCTCTTAACTGCTATTTCTTGCCCCTCGGCCAATGTTCCCTAGAAAATTCATCATTCATAAATGCTTATATTTGTTGTAAAAATTGTAGCTCATTCATGTAGTTTTTTTTTTTTTTTTAAAAAAAAATTACCTTGTAAACAGGTCCAAAGCCACCTTGTCCTAGCTTGTTGTCACTTGAGAAGTTATCTGTTGCTTTCACTATAGTGGCTAAATCGAATATTGGTAACTCCATCTCCTCATTTTCTCCCCCTCCTTGCTTCCTTAGTTTCTTGATCCGTACGTAACATAATAATCCAATGAAAACCATTCCAGTCAACATTACAGAGCTGACAATAATCGCTACTTGCTTCTTACCATAACCTGTAACATCTGATATAGTTTTACTGGCTCTATGCATTGCATAATATATAAAAATATGAAAGCTAAAGAAAAATTTTAGGAACATGCGTTAGTGTCTACTAATGCAACATGCCTTAAAATTTTAGGAAAAAAGGTAGTAAGTTATCCTACAAAAGAAAAATTCATTGAGTTAAAGAAATGATTCACTAGCGTTTGATTCTACCATCTGGCCTTTGATCAATCATAATAATGCAGAGGAAAAAGAGTCCTCCAACTGAAGGCAACTTTGTTACCTAGTTACATAAAAATAGAAGAGTAAATACCTGTTTTTGGCTTAGCTAGTCGTATGTAGAGGTCTTGCCCGCCTTCAGTGTATTCTCTCAAATCAGCAAGCTCATCAAACCAAAGCAGGCATCCACTTCCTCCGTTCCTGATATCTGAATTTGCGTAGGCTGTGCAAGAGCAGTTCCTCAAACACTTCTGTCTGCATTCTGTGAGGCTCATGCTTGTATTAAACTGAGAATTTGATGTGTCTGGCAATTTAAACCCTCTATAGCTTTGAAAGACATCATTCCTGCAATCCAAATTAGACCTTCGAACACACCCACTAGACCAATTTGACACCCTCCACTCCTTAGGGGACTTAGGTTCAAATCCATCCAAGCAAGCACATACTGTAAGAGAGTTAAAGATTTTGCAGCTGGCATATGCACCACATACGGCATAATGGTCACATTGATCAAGTGGCGCAGCATATACCAGAGTCCAACTTAATGATGGAGTTGATCGGGCAAAGCGCTGAAGAAAGCCTGATTGGTTCACCACCAACCTTGAAATCAGAGGACTTTGAGAATTTTGAAGCTCCCATTCGTAATATACCTCATTCTTTGTTAACTGAAATTCATACTTAAAGAGGCTAACTCCTTGCAACTCAGGAGACCCTGTAAAACGAAGTCCATTCCATGATCCTACTCTAAAATGCATTTCATGTCCCTCCCTAACAACTAGTTGAGGAAACCCTTGAGGATCTATGGATGCTGAAAACTGACCTGGAGAAGGATTATTTGGGCTCTTCCAAGTTGATAGAGATCTAACCTGACCGGT